CCCCAAAACCCCAAAACCCCAAAACCCCAAAACCCCAACAGAGAGGACATATATTGGGATTTATAACCTGCAAAAGATTACTTTAATATAATTAATAATAGAAAATGAGCTCACATATAACTGAAACCGAAGAGAAGAAGTTGGAATTGATGCTAGGAGTCTCTGATATAGATGACTTCCAATTCGAAGACATCACCTGAGGCCAGCCCATCCAGTAAGATATTAGATTCGCACAATCAGAGATTTTCTTAGTAATTTCCAAACAATTTACTAAGATCTTATTTAAAGTTATAAATTCCGAACTTTAAGAGTTATTCACATAAATTTTCAATGGGAATAACCGTTTTACATGGCAGTTTTTTAACCCAGAAGCTTGTATTAACCAAGCTTAGGGCTGTGCTACGTAAGATTTGACGATTGCTCGATTAATATGCAAGGTTTCTTAGAGATCGGCGTCAGTACGCGGGTAAAATTCCTATATGGAAAAATATGTATGGGCAATTACTCAAAAAAACAAGTTTGCACTGAAGGATTTGTCAAAAATTTCGGAAATTTTAGATGTCCTCAATCCAAGCATGAAAATTTTTGGATCACATGTTTGAAATATAGGTTTACAAGCTTGTATGAGTACAAATAAGATCTTGGGAGTCGGAGGCTTTGGACTAGTCATAGCTGTGTATGATAAAGAGCTAAAGACAGACCTTGCTATCAAGGTAATTCAAATCTTTGGTGACTTGTATGTAGATTATCACCAATACATCAAAAACCAAAGTCTTGGATTCTTTGAAGAAAGAAGCAGAGATTCTTGAGAGTCTTGACCATAAGAATATTGTTGGATTTAAGTACTTTAAGCAATATCATAACTGATTCCTTCTTGCCATTGAGTGGTGTCAAGAAGGCAGTCTTCTCTGATGGTTAAAGGGGAAAGACGAAGAAAGGTAGGTTTCCTAAAATTGCACTTTCCTAACAGATCATAGATTATTAATACTTGAGACAATTAAGAATGCTGAAAAGGAGAAATCCCAAGTTTCAATCACCTTAACTGTATGCATCACGGGCCTGACTTTTATAGGAGAAGGAATCTGAAGAGTGTTGCCATCACCAATGCAAGAATCTAGATCATTGTATTCTGAAGCAGTTCTACAAAACACATGAAAATGAATGAGCTGACATTATGAAACAGCTGTTTGAAGGTCTAAGATATTTGCATGAATCTAAAGACATAATGCATCGTGACATAAAGCCTGGAAATATCCTTCTGCAAAAATTGAAAAGAGGTAGCTTCAAGCATAAGATAACTGTTGATAACCTAGATGATGATTCTGAAGAAGACAAGGAATTTAATGTGGTGAAGTACAACGATTCTAGGCTTACTGGCTCAACCCATGACACATTGAAAGAAACTTTTGACTACCAAATAAAAATATGAGATTTTGGGCTATCCAAAATAGCTAAGGAAGGAATTTATGAGTACAATATTGAAGCAGGTGGGACTCGGCTCTACCAATCCCCTGAGCAAGCACTTAGCCAAGGGTACAGCAAGCCTGTTGATATTTGGGCTGCAGGGATTGTAATGTTTTTCATTCTCACTTTCGGGCAACATCCCGTGACTTCCAACGAAACTGAGAATAACGGTAAAACTTTTTATTATTTTATAGAAGGAATTGACAATTTGATCAAGAAAATCTCAAAATTGCAGAAAGAAGATCTTAATTTTAAGCTGCTGGATAAATATTATTGGAAAAAGGCATCTAATCTTTGTGGAAGATTATGAGAAATAAAAGCGAACCTGAGGTATCAATGAGCAAATGCTTTGATGCACCCATGGGTCACTCGTGATGAGAACGGCTGAGTGCCCTTAAATTTCCACGACCAAATGGAAATGACCAATAAACTATATGATAAGTTTAAATAGTGTTCAGAATTTGATGCTTTCTGTTGCAGTTTTAAGGAATAAATTTATGAAGAAAACTAAGGACTCCTTGCTAGATGAGTACAAGTACCAAATTACCAAGGAGGAATTCTTAGACTTCACCCCAACTCCAAAGAAGGACGAGAAAGAGCTGGATGATTTTAACTCTTTTTCCCAAAACGTGATGTACAATGCTTGTAAACTGAAACCTAGTAAGTTTCGCTAATTTATTTCTTAGATAAAACTAAGAAGGTGATAAAGAAGATTAAGAACCAGTCAAAATTGTTCTCGCATCCAAACATGATGATTAAGACTAAGGTTAGACTTATTTTTAACAGTTTTAGCCTCAAAGTTTATATCCAAGCAAGCCTAACACTCGATTTCTGAAATGAGGGTCTGCTATGAACCTGAGTCCAAACACCTCTAAGAGTGTCTCTAAAAAGAGGAAATTATCATCAGGGAGGCCCTTAAGCTCGAAAGTATCAAAGAAAAAGGTGAAGCTCCAGACCATGAAATCAACGAAGGCGTAAGAAAAATTATTAAATGAATAATTTCTTACTGGAATTTTGAAAGACAGGGACACTCCAATAAATCCTTTTGACAGGATACTGACTTTGTCTTTAGAGGAGCCAACCAGCTGAATCCCAAAGCAAGCCTGAAGATAATGAAGGAGCTTGGAAAGTCAAGAACAGGCATCCCAATTAATAAAAAGTAACTTCTTACATTTTTGAATTTATTCATAATTTAGAAGAAAATTACCTTCCAAAAGGATTGACTGAGCAAATGCTAGAAACATGAAATCGTCCAAAAAGATCAGTATCAGTGAAGATTCTGAATCTCCGCTATTAAGGTCTTCAAATTTGAAAGGGAAGAGTAACCCTATCATGTTGTTTAAGACTGGGAACAAAAAGTTTGATATCCCGATAAGGATGCCTAAGTTTGACGATACCTCGAGTATTACTATTTCAGAGGAGAATACTCACAAAACGCCTTCTGAAGATGTTGATCTCGAACGGATGCTGAAGAAATGTAGTCCTAAGACTAACAAAAACAGGATGATTATTAAGCACTCCTTGAGTAAGGAAAATGATGAGTTAAAGGACTCTAATGACCCTGTATTTCCGACTATGAGGAACCATATGGTCACTGAGAAAAGGAGCAGCTGTAAGAATATCCCAGTGATAAACCATTTCAAACTTAATCGTCAAGCCCAGAAGAAGTATCACCCCAACCAGATACAGGAGAAAGTTAATAGAGAAAGAGAGGTGAACTACTTAAAGAGCACTATTGGATCGACCACAGGTCTTGGCAACATAAAAACCCTGGAGGTTAATATCTTCAAGGCTCCAAGGAAGTCTTCATGAGGTGGAGTTGAGCCCCCCATCCCTATGACTCCTGTCCAGAAGAAAGTGCATAAAGAGGTCCAGCAGCAAGGGATTTCTCAGACAGAAAAGGGGCTTGGTAATTGGTCGAGTAAGAAGTCAGTGCCTCGGAAGTTATCGTCACTTGAGAGTGACCTCTACAGCTAGCTAATACTTGTCTAATATTCTGATACTTCTACTGCTAGATTTCTCTATGGGCTTGGGGCCTAATATGCACTTGGCATTTTTGATAAGATGCTTATAATTATTCAATATTGGTGATTGTTGAGGGGTTTTGGGGTTTTGGGGTTTTGGGGTTTTGGGG